ATGTCGATGTGGCATCTAGAATCAGAGGAATTTTGAATCTTTAATGTGTTGTGGATGCTTTGGGAAGAAGTGTTGCTGCGATACCTGATGATGCAACAAGAACAACTATTTTCCCCAAACTTCTAAGTCTTGCTGTAATTACATTATAGAGATATGTTTTACCTGTACCTCCGTGACCGTATAAGAAGAATGCGCGGCCCATCTTGTTGTGTACTGAATTGATAACAGCTGAATACACATTGGTTTGCTCAACGTTCAGTTACTGTAACATTGTGGTGGCCAGTGTATGTTGCTGATCTACATCGAAAGCAAGATGCTAATTTATAAGTGGATTCTCACCACTATCGCATAAACCATCTGATGGGAGTGGAAGATTAAAGTTCTCAAGAGTCATTGAGTCTGAGCTCAACATAGTCTGTAGTTGATGTAGAACCCAGTTCTGCAGTCATTCGTCGCTGGGCCTCAGAGTCTGATCTCTGAAATCCTTTATTAAACTGTACGCATAATCTTCAGACATAGATTTCCAAGAAGAGCTGAACAATGCTATCGGGCTTGGTATTTCACAGAAAATCAGCATTGACACGAAAGTGCTTCGAATCACTCGTGGCATGCTAGAAGATGAGATATCTGCTAATACTCGTATCCATTCTGAAGAGTCTGATAAAAGGCCTAATTTTTCACAAGCTTTTTCAAAATCTGCACAAAGTTCTCCATTGACAGTCCTGAGCTGAGCATAACTAACAGCGTCGCGAATTTTTGTTAGCAGCATCCGGAGGAAGAAAACATCGCCAGAAGGCCCAGAACCTGGTGGAACATATGCAATTCTGCCTATTGCGAATCCTTTCTTGAGAGGACTCCACTCTTTACAATCAGATAGCCAAGTGTAGTTGTTGGGTATATGTGCATATGTCAGAATTCTCGCCTGGGGGTCTCTACGATTAAGCGCAAACCATTCTGTTAAGTACGTTCGACCGGCATAAGGATTACCCAAAACATTTCTTACATTGGATTGCTTCTTATAAGGTATTTTTTGCTGACCATCCAAATGAACTCCCAAGCGCACAACTGCTGGCTCTCTTACATGTATTGGATACTCATTCAGCCTCCATATAGCTTCATAAGATGACAACGATCACCAATGACCTGTCTGGACCTTTTGTCACATACTTGAAAAGATATTTAATAAGCTTGCCTTTATGACATACCTCGACATTGATATGAGCCTGCATTCTCACCAACAAATTTCGGTTGTATGGAACAACATGTCGATTATCGAGGACTGAACTGCCCTTTTGAACCTCGATGCCCGAGTTTGATCTTCTATAAACGACATTTCCGAATTTTTCAAATGACGTGGTTGAGTTAAACTGTTTTGGGAATTGTTTGGAACATCTGCCGTTTGAGGATCGTTTTTTGTCTCGCATACACGGTGCATTCGTGTTTGCTTCGCCACATGGGCCATGTAATATTTATTTGCAAACAGCCTCATATCCAACTGGATCTTGTTGAGGGTCAGGAATTTTAGCTGAGATAACCTCATCAATGTCAGCAGTTGTCCTCAGTTTATTCTCCTCGGCCAGCCAAACCAGCAAGTGTATGTGGGGCAGACCTTTTTTTGGGAACTCCACTGTATACATTACTGGCACAAAACAAAACCCGTTAAGAAGCCAAATATTCATATATGTGCATTGAAAGACAAATGATAGCCAACGCTGAAAAAAGCAAACTACATTAAATGACCAGGCTGATCTTACTTGCAATCGTCTTCCCAAAGTAGGAGTTTTTCTTAATGACATCAATCAGAATGCTGAGCTTAATGTGGAAAACCCTTGAGACCACCATCGGTTTGTCCGAGCTATTTGGACCAACTATATCGTGAAAAGCTTCTGTGATTTCTTCACACAACGAATTACACGTAAATGTAATAAATAGATCCGGATTTCCAAAGAATTCAACCACCGCCATTGCATCGTGATATAATTGTTGCATATATTGTGGGCTACCTATATAAGTCCCTGGGAGGACAACATGACCCACTTTATCCCCGTCGAGATCACCCCGCGCCATTGCATCCTGTAAGCCTTGATAAACTTCAGCTCTAAGTTGTGGCTGATGGCAGCGCAGAAATGCCAGCCTATTTAACTCTGTTGATGAATAGGCGTCGATACAAAAGTGCTGAAGAGCTTTTCCAGATTGAACAATTGTATGGCCTTCATTGATGCGATATTGGAGCCTAAATGTGTAGTATTCACGCTGAGTAACAAATTGTCTGCGCATAGAAGGAGGACAGAAAGCTGACCTGTATTTGATAAGCGGATGATAACCATCCTCTCCATATTGGAATAAGAGCGGGAAATGCAATGCATCAAACTTGGGATTGAGACTTGTAATTCTCTTTAAGCCTTCATAAATGTGATCATCAATGATATCTCGATCGTCCCTGTCTGGAATAAAATCGCCTGGTATGAGTGCTGCGATTTCAGTGCTGCTTGGCAAGTCGTATTGTCGATTTCTGCTCTTAGCTCCAAAAATTCGAAGTTTCAAATTTGTCGTTGTAGAATCCTGCAACCGCTGTCGAACTCGCCTGAATGTCTTGACAAGTTGATTGTTTTCATCCAGCATTTGTAGTAATAAAGTGAGCAATTCTGGCATAAGTACACATCACGGGAAGCATAATTTGCCATGCGGTTGTCAATTTCATTCTCTGGTTCAAAAATATAGAGCTGGGCAAACTTTGGTTTTTCACCATCAGGAGGCAACAACGAACCAATCCTATGATAATTCTCTCCACATATTACCATTGAATAAGGCCCCCTTCCAGAGAGAGAGCGAGGGTCAATAGAAGCGCCAAATGATGTGAAACACAATGAACCATTGTACGGTCTAATGTTGTTCCTGAAATGCTTAGACATAGCACCACCATCAAATCGCAGAAGTTCAGCCAACAAATGTGGAGGTTGTGCTAAGAGAGGCAAACCAACGCGGCCTTTTTGACAGCATAATGCATAAATTGGATTAGTCGTCGCTCGATGGCAGTCGAGCCTTTCCATATCCCAAAACAAAGCACCACAGTACTTACAAACACACTCTGGCTGACCAATCCTCAGAATATCATTGTGGAGTGGCTTTCTAGCCGTGGGAATATGCCTACTACAGAATGGAGGTTCGCCTAAATTCTGCCGATTCAAACGATCAGTTTTCTGACGGCTAGTTCGTGTTACTCGACCGATGCCTTCGTTACATTCATCCCCCATAACACACATACTCTGTTCCTGACAAAATATGGGTCGAGTTATATACCTGGATACCAATTGCTTCATATTCTGATAGCGCGTTTTCCTCGGCCGTGATAGACCTGATATGTATACAACAAACATAAGAGTGGTAAGCTTACTACAGTCAGCGACCGATATGAACAAATGCTAGTTACGCATAATACATGCATGGATATTTCATGCTTCGGACAACATGCGTAGAATAATGTGTAACTACATCACCAAATGGCGATGGCGAAACTTGATGAAGATTCAATAATGACCCCCGCATGGTGCTCTGAGACATAGCAAATGTTTCCCTGAACACTGCTGACGTAGTTAAAAGATCCTCTGCTGGTTGTTTGGGAATTTCAATTCTAGCTCTTTTATGTGTTAAAGTCTGATATTGAGCTTTTCTTATTCTTGGAGGCATTGCCGCACAGTCTAGACAAAAGCATGCAAAAGAACAACGTCATTTATTGCTAGAAAGCTTCACTAATAAAGGTGAGATGAATTTGGATATAATGAATCAATAACGGACATAATTGAAGATTCACTCTACCATGAACAATCAAAAGCGTGGTGGTTGTGTAGATGACTGTCCAAATCGGCTGGCAAGCACAAGATACAAATGAGAAGTCTTAAGTGAAATATGAGAGTGGGATGGGAGAAGTTCCCAGAGAAGTTGACACAACCCCAATGAAGAAGAAGACCTCCCTTAAAATGCATCATTATGGATATTTGAGATAAGCAATCATATCTACCTATATTAAAATGTGTTATTATGGGTATCCGTGATATTAGATATGCATTAATATATTGCTTTACCACTCCCAAAATATCTAACTTTGTGCTAAATTAATAAAATGAGGAAACACAATCATATTAGTTTAATCTTTGTATAGAAAGAGGCTTCATTACGGAGACAAAAGCGATTACGGAGGGAATCGCTGGAGCAATTTTCCATTTCGGAACATGTGGCCTCAATTGGAATCCATAAATATTGGTATCCAACATAATTAACACATTCCTATTCCAATTGCTCATATATGTTCTAACGTGTCTTTTCAGGACTATCAATTCCACAAAATGTCGAACATGTTTTAACACATCTTGATAACTAAATCATAGAATAGGTTAATTCCTGTATAAAACGTGAGCTTGTTAGACTTTAAGATGAAGAATCAGCGAACATCTAGCGAAAAAGGAGCATGACTACGCTAAGAATGGACATACATTGTACCCGCAAAACGAAACAACCTATTTAAGCAACGATAAGTAGAAGTCATACTACATATAACATCTCACAAGGGAAAAAAACACAGTTGCAATATTACAATAAGGTACGACGCAAAAGTCACATATAGCAACCTTCACCACCTCAATACCGCCAAAAGAACTACTATCCGACAAAACATAGACGGTTGCATAAACGAAAAGCATAGAGAATATACATCCTCTGATAACATCCACATAGGTGCAAACAACACAATTTCGAGACCAGAATTCCCAAAACACGATTGTCCAAAAAAAGAGAATAATTTGCAAAAGTATAACGAAACACAATATCTCCTCGAACATAAGACAACTACAATCCCAGAGACACCATCAAACACATCTTTAGTTCCTGGAGCAAACAACATGGAATAATAAGAACCACGACACGCACAAAAACTAAACTACAACACAAATGTTCTGAGAGTATAGGTTTAAACAACAGAGCTAGGAGTACCCTTGAAACCATGATCACTTCTTGAACAAACCACGCTTTGCCGCCGTTTTTTTCTGACTATCCACCGAAGCATCCCTTTCCATATCAACACCTGCCTGTGAGGAACCACCATGTTGCGCCTGAGCACTTTCGGCAGCATCCAATTTCTCCACCTTGATCTTGGACAGTGGAGAAACCAACCTTCAAACAAATAGATTTTTTTGTTCTAAGAACGGGAGCAATAACACAAACATAAAACAGTAAAAAACTGACAATGTAGAACATAAATACTCATGGCGATGCCGATGGTGACACGACGGTTGAACCTAAAGTCATTCCAGGAGATGACTCAGGGGATGGCTTTAAAACTTTCGCAGCTGGCATAGATGAGCCGCGACCAACATCCTCGGGGCTCATAGACTCTTTAATTCTTGCTGATCGTCTGGGGATCATCGAAGCATCAGATTGGACAGATGGTATAACAGAATGAACAGCAGAGGACATCGCAGCAGGTGCAACAGTTCGGGTAGAGCCCACCTGTACTCCCATCGCTGAAACTTGAGAAGCTCCAAGAACCCGTGACTCAGTATCAATATCTTCATTTCTGACATTTGCAGAAATAGGGTTTCGGAAATCCCTGGCCTCATAATTGGGAAATCTGCGAATTATAGTAACTGATTCAGATGTCATCCTCGAACAACATCGCAAATTAGCAAAACAAACTCCGGGAACAACGCCAATACCTGACAATCAGATCTGGTTCATCAGTGATGCTAAACGGCATAGCCGGAGTTTCAATGAGAAGAGAGTCTGAAACCTTTTCCTTTCCCTTCGAGGCCCTTAAGAACACATCACAAATATTTCACTTTAGACATAATACACAGACCAAAGCAAAACACAAAGAAACCAAAGCACCCAACACTGACCTCGATGAACCAGAGGCCCCCCCCCCCCCCCCCCCCCCCCGATACTCGATGCACGCATCATAGGAGTAGCCAACGGAGGGGGCGAAGAAAACTCAAGCAGATCACCTACGACAGTAGGATCATCAAGAGGAACCACCTGGGTCACACGGAATTCTCTCGAGGAGAAACCAGTTGGGCCCGACAACGGCAACTACAATCAAACTTGACATACTGCCCTCGTAACTGATGCAGTTGTGGGGGCAGCTGACCAGGACGATGGGGGAACCTCTGGGCCAAATGTGCAGCAGAAACGTTCACCAGCGTAAGCTCACACCCCCCCCCCCCATCAGTATAAAACGCGCCTCACAAGAGTCATCCCTCAGTGTAAGCTGGAGCTTGTAGCTGAGGGAAAAAGAACATTAGCAACAAAACTCACAACAGCCAACAAACATACAAAAAATGACACATGGTCATACTTGACGCGAGTTTGTTCCTCGTCCAACTGCCAATCCTTTGGACACCAAAATGTATCATCACGACGCTTCGAAACAGCCCTCGAACATAACTTGCATGAAATATAATACCAAGGTGTGCTTGACTCGACATCAACAATCACTCCACCACAGCGATACTTCTCTTCCTAACAAAAAAAAAGGAGTAAGTTACGTCCAAACATGGGGAAAAGGATAGCAATAGACTTTTAGACGAACACGCAATACCAGTGAGGCATTTGTTCTGGATAACGCCAGCAGCTGACTCAAAGTCCTGGTTCGACGATCGGCATCAGCTGTAGCATCAGCGGCAGTAGCAAACTCAACCGGCAATGATTCAACAACCTCATGTTTCTCAGCAAACCTAATAGAGATCCAAGCACCATAACTTAGACAACATAGGAGCCTTTGCAAAATCCGGACTACATCAACAACACACAGGAATCGGCAACAACCCACAACTAACTTACCTAGATGCAAGAAAATAAGCCTTTGGTACAGGAGGATTGACTGATATGCGAGTAGCGGCAGAACTCGACAGAACATAATCATCTGAAAAGTAGAATAAAAGACGACAAAATCTATAACATACTAATAGACCACACTCAATCTGACGAAACCGTGCATGCAATAAGGAAGCAACAACATACCTCCCAGCTTATTAACCAGCAAGCCGCCAAATGCCAAAATCACAGCTTCAATCGAGTCAGCCTGAGTCAAAGCAACGTGATCCAACACCGCAGAAAACTCATCCCAGAGCGTAATCGAGACCTTCGCTCCGCTGAGAAAAAAAAAGAAGGACACGTAAGATAAACAAAGAACAAACACGACAATCACAACCGAACCAATAAACACAGGAAAACGCAAAACACCTTTCATCCTCAACTATGACCGTCTGCTTGACTGCAGGACCGTTATTTGTGATCTTGTGCGATATCCCGCTGATCGACCTGAGTCGGCCAACGACATCTACGAAAACAGTACAAAGGTAAAATCTTAGTAAACAAACAACAGATATATAAACAAAGCAAATCCAACAAAAACAAACCTACTAACCTGTCAAATAACGATGGTTACCGGCACGCAAATTCAACTGAGAGAAAGCCACAAACTCGTAAGCATCAAGTGGGAAACTTTCAGTAGGCAGAATACAGGGCTGAAAAGAAGCCGAAGGCGAAAGACCCAGAGCCAAATCAAAGGAACAGGCCCGATACTGATTCGGCGGATTGCTCAGGGCAAAAGTCTTTATGACGTATATCTTGCCAACCGAGAGATTACGGCGAATCCCAGCAGCCATCGAAGTCGGTGAGACGCCCTGTATCAGCATACCCTGTGCAAAACACACCAGCCTGCCGCATGAACAAAGCGAAGAGGGCACAACAAACAGGGGCAAGAAAGAAAAGGCAAGAAGGACAGAAACTTAACCGTTTCATCGACCCAAAGAGTACAGTAATTGTAGATCCTGATGTCCCCTGGAGACTTCGCCGGCCACACATGTAGCAGTCGGAGCCGCAAAGAAACGCTGGCATTGCGAGGACCTCCGAGGTTACAAAGAAGCGTAAACTCCATGGTTCGGGAAAAGAAGAGCACCAAAGAGAGAGGAAGAAATTTTTGAGAAAGAAAACAGAATGACAGGAGAGAAGTTCCGGCGCCACGAAAGATAAAAAAATGAAGGAAAGAATGAACAGACGTGATAGTACTGCATGTCAGTTACCGGTCCAATGACGAAAGAAAACGTAAAAAATGGGAAACGACACTGCGATTGACAAAAAGATAAGGACAACGTAAAATCAAGGAACCGCCAATGAAACCATAAAAAGCAACGAAGGATTCCAGGCGACGAAGCGGCGGTTGTCAGATATCAGGCCAAACACAAAGGAAACCGCTCCCCCCAGGCCCAAATGCAAAACGCCGTATATAAAATGGCGCGCCCATCATTGGCCGAAATCCAGGAAGACAAGAAACAAAGCCCACGTGCAAGAGAAGAAAGCAAAGCAGTGCGTGTAATAATTATATGGGGCGGCCTCAGGGGAAATGATAGAAAGAAGCAAAAAACGCAGGGAAAATAAGCGTCCATTTGAGGGCAACGCGACACACACAGGAACAACAGAAAACAAATAAAAAACCGGCCCACACACAGCTGAGCAGCCAATAAGAAAATGCGGCCGCAAAGCATGGACCAATCAGGGGAGGGTGAACAGTAATTTTGAGTCTAAATGAATAGTAAATTTTGTCTAGATGAACAGTAACGTGTCTTTGCAAATAACTTGTTCTAATGTGTTATTTCGAAATAACTTGTTTTATCACTCTACTTTTACCAAATACCACATGTCAAATACCCTATTTGTATTGTTCAACCAAACGAGATACTTTATTTCAATTACCACTGAAATAACACTGAAATACCACATGAATAATAAACGAGTTATTTGGCTCTACAAATACCACATTGACAATTAACCCATCCAAACGAACCCTATGAGAATTGGAGGAGCTATATCACTTAATTAAGAACAGGGCATCGCGTACCACTGAACTTATTATATGTGCACTTGGTATCACTTAAGTTTACTGCTAAGTGCATTGCGTTAAAGTTGACAGAATCAAGGTTCAAAAAGGCGCTAGGCGTAAGGCGGGCGTTGAGCCTTTGCCTTGCGCCTAGCTCGTCTAGGCGTTGACTAAGCGTGCCTAGGCGTTGGAAGAAAATAGCTATTCGCAGTGCATGATGAATGAAATAATAATCTACAACACTTCCTCACTTCAGTTAAAATGATTAATAACTTACTCAACACTTAATGACAGGAATATAGCTTATGAGTTCATAGAATCATAGCTCAATAGTTCACAAAGTTCTTGAGCTATTGAAAATATTGCAATAGAAACTTGATTTCATAGTTGATGTTAATTTTGGTATTTAATATTGGCTTCTTAGCTCCATCTAGTAATGTTTAGGAGAGACTTATATGTCGCCGTACTCCATTAACGTGTTCCAGTATCTAATTAGGCGCGAAATCCCTAGGCGAGGCGTTTTGTCATTGCCTTGCGCCTAGGCGTGCCTAAGCGCAAAATTAAGCGTGCCTTTTTGAACCATGGACAGAATACTTTTGGAATATTCTGTTTTCTACATTTCATAATTGTTCCTTCTACTATTCTTTTCATAATTGTTCCTTCTACTATTCTTATTATAAAAAAAAACCATTTCGACTTATGAAAAACTTAAATTTTTATTGTTTAATTGAATTCCTCTTTTAAATACTTGATACCAAATCAATTTTTGAATATAAAATTTAGAATCAATTATCATTATAAGTATTTCAATTATCATTATTATTCTTAAAATTGAATAATTTCCTAAAGCAAATATATCTAATGAATTCCATGTTAAATCTTCTTTTAATTCTCTAATATTATATTGTAGATGTTTCATATTAGTTAAATTTAGTAATTTTAATTCTCTTCCTATAGTCATATTTTTTTCTACAATTTTTAATGAATGTTGTAGCTTTTATATTTCATTTATTACTTGGTTACTTTCCGGCCCTTTTCGTTCTAAATGTTTTTTCAATTACTGGAATATGTTTCATTCTAGTATATTTTAAGTGGTATATCTACCCCAATTTAAATATTTATTATTTTTCTTAATATTCGTTTAATAATTTTACTATTTTATTGAAATTTTTGATTAGCCATTTTGATAATAATATGTTTAGAAGGTTTTCTAATTTTCATACCGGATAAAACTTGTTGAAATATAGTTTTTAATGTTTTTAAAAGTTTTGGTACCAAAACATAATTAAAAGTTTGGGTTGGATGAAAAAGTAGACGGATGCCCATTTTGTCGACTTTAATGGTACCCGACGCGCTATTCAAACCTAAGTGGTATATCAACCCCAATTCTCAAACTTGTATCCGGGCCAAGGTTGTCAAACCGGTTTATGTCAGTGTGCCGGTTTAGCAAGTGGAATGGTTCAACCGGTGGCACATACCGGTTTGTGCCGGTTCATGCCGGTCAATATTACAAATAAAATTATAAATACTCATATTTAAACATGACATTTAACGTCAATACCTAATAATTTATACTTGAATCCAACAAATAACATCAATATTTAACTTTTATACTCATAAAATTAATAATAAAATAATTTTTATCAATTAAATTCTCTAAAATAAGGTCATTTTACTTAGAGATTCGTATATCGATCATGCCGGTCATACCGGTGGTGTCACGCCGGTTTTATGACCGGTATCGGTTGAACCCGGTACAACCGGTGGCACGCCGGCCGGCGTGACAACCATGATCCGGGCTATTTTACTCTAAACGCCGTCGGTTTAGGTTTATCCCCCATCCAAACGAGCTTCTCATTTTCAGGCCAGGATGAGCCGGAAAAGCTTTTGCCCCCTCCTCTTCTTTTCTTCCAGAACCTGAAAATGGGAACTCTATCGCCATTTTTGCCTTTGCCTTGCCCGCTGGTTTGTTCCCCACAAAGTCGCAGTTGCTGCTTACCATCCTCAACCCTCCAGACATGGCCTCGCTACCCTTTGAAGAAGCCCCTGAATCCCAGCAGAGCTATAGTAGTCGTCCATGGCGGTAGAAATAATGCCGGCGTCCCACCACCAGACGGGTCCCAGTACATGGATAAGAATGGTGTGGTGGAAGACATGGATGGCTATCTCAACTATCTCTCGCTCGAATACGATTCTGTCTGGGACACCAAACCATCTTGGTAGTGCAAAAAAATTTGATTTATTCCTGCTCCCCAAATCCTTTCCCTTTTTCTTTTGTGAATTGTATCAAACCCTTGATTTGAAGCTTAAGTAGAAACTGAATTGCGTATGCTAGTTGGATATTGACAATGTCTCAATCACAATTTAATGGGTTTGTGTTTTTCTATGGTTTTGCATGTTCTAATCGTGGGTTGTTTCTAGCTGTGTGCTTGTTGTCATAACTAGTACTGTCCTGGGCCAATTGTATATCCTGTCAATCTTCGTACTGCTTAAAAGATGATGATACGTTGGTACTGAATTTGTCTAACTCTGCATCTGGCGTTCAATCAGTGATGGCTTGGCTCTGGTTATCGCCTTGATCATTATTTGTTTGAGACTTGCAACTGGCCAAGTTTCGTTTCTTGATCATAGTTGATTGATGATTGAAATAATGAAATCCTCTAAAGCCTTTGTGTTGATGATGTAGGTGCCAACCCTGGACTATAACTCTAACAGGGGTACTGATAACCGGTGCTAGCTGGGTGATTTTGCAGTCAGTTGCAATCACTTTGGTTGTTCTCACCTTAATATCTGCTTGGTGGTACATTTTCCTCTATTCTTATCCCAAGGTACTATGTTGCTGCTCTTCTTCTTTGCTATTCCTGTCCATGTATGCATGCGAATCGAACTTATTGCGTTTTGTGCCAGGTAGGTTTTGTGCCAGTAAGGATGGATGTCAATGTTAGGAAAGTATCAAGTATAGTTAGGGAAATAGCAGTACTTGTGATATGTTTTGGGTTTTGACCTCTGTCTAATTGCTTATAAGAATCACCCAAAGGTTTCATGTCAAAGTTCTACAAGGATCATTAGTATAGCAAAGCTGCAATGGAGGATCTCTACCTCAATGGCGTTGATCAGTCCTTCTGGATAGAGTCGTATTCTGTATGTGTTGTAGCAGCAAGGAATGAGATTGGTTTTTGAATTTCCTCACTGTTACCTATGGCAGGCTTACTCAGAGATGATCGCTGAACGACGAAAGAGAGTGACGAGTGGTGATGAAGATACATTTGGTTTGAAGAGGAGTTCAATTAAATGAGTTTTGAACACTCATATGCCCTTGTAATCTCAGTTGGATGTATTTGGAGTAATCAGCCAAGAGTTCATGGCTTCATGTCTCTTGGCGAGTTGTATCTTCTTTGTTCTGATTACTCTTTAATTTGATGCTGGAAAAGCTTGTAAATGGTCATTTTGTATGTTTGTGTGAGTATCAACTGCCAAGTGAACGACAGAGCGCGGAATCATACTTGCAAGACACAATCCATCTCATTGATGATGATCTGATGGCTGCAGCCTAAAATTACACAAAACACTTAGCCTCGTGGACTACTGAGACAGAACACTTTATATGTTAAACCATCCAAATGCTCATTTGGGCAAAAGACAGATGGATTTTCTTGGACATGTTATCAATGAGGAAAGGGGTAACACCCGAGGAAGGTGTTTGGATTAGAATTGCACAGCTGGTAAAACATGACACTCAGAAAATAAAGTTTCAAACAAGCTCAACCAGCTCGGTTAAGCTTGTTTGAGATTGTTTGAGATGAAATTGATGGAAACGAAAAGGGAATCTCACACCAGAAAGATTACACAATCGTTATGTCGATGCTTTCGATGTAATTGAGCGTGATTAATCAATCAATAGGCTAGGGTTCAGCAAGTTTTGATCGCAACCAAAACTAAAACAAACTCACAACACACAAGTTGGGAATTTTGGGATTTTTCTACTCAATTTCAACTCTGAATTGTTCAATACACGATTGAGGCCTTTTATAGGCTTAAAAAAATGCAAACAAAGCTAAAGACTACGTAAATTAACCTAATTCAACAAAGAAACTAAATTACACATGTAATCCGAATAGGACTAGGAATCCTTATGAGATTCGGATTGCTGGATGTTCGAGGGAGCTTCTTTGGGAGCCCCGAAAATGGTCTTCCAAGTTGATTCAATCTCATCCAATTCCTTCCCTGGGTTTAGAAAGTGTTCTAGTTTCCATCCCAACTCGAATCAGAATCTGGATGTGTCCCAAACTCTAGATATTAGGCTCCAAAGTAGGCACCTTGAACTCGTCATTTGCCTTAGCCAAAAAATAGGCAGATTCTCGGTTTTGACTTGGCAACTTGGAGAGTTTCAACCATGGTCTTCCAGACTTCATTTTGAACTTCTAGGCCCTCCATCTTGCATAGAGATACTCCACCTTCAAAACAAGCCATCAAACTCGAATTTCCATTGAATGAATTGAAAGAACCAAACCTCCAAAGTTGGTAACCTGAAACATAAAAAACACTTAGACAAATGTTATGTTCTTTGTTCCTCAATGACCTTGCTTCTTGATCAATCCATGGAAGCTTCAATAGCAAGCAATTTGGGATCATATCAGCCCCCCTGTTGAAAAAGCTTTGCCCTCGAAGTTTGGGCATTCTTTGCTTCAAAAGAATCACAAAATTGATCCCAAATCGGATCCAATATCGGTTGCTCGAACACCTTGTGCTTAACTCGAGAACACTGTTCTTTGTCGAGCAAATTGGGGCTTTCGTCCTTAGGGATCTCCAGCACAATTCGACACTTTTTCGAGATTCGCCTGGCTTCCAATCGCAGTTCTGTACCGGATTCGAGTGTTGACTCTCCTCCATCAATGTCGAATCGCCAACTTGAAGTTTCCCGCCATCGTCGTCATTCAAAAAGAAGAAACCAAGATTTTCGATTTTGATTTTGAGGCTTTTGATTTCGGTATCGCCACATTCAATTGACGATTTCTACAGCTTCCTTGGAATTCCTTCATCGGTTCCGCATAAGCAGTTTGGATCGAATCGTGCCCAAACTCTCAACCAATAACCCCGAATTTTGGTCGTGTTTGCTCGTTTCTAGGGGTTTTTTGGCTCGAATCTGATCCATTGATTGAGGTTGAATCGATGCCAATGGATTCATGTGAGTGCTTCCCGGTGATTTAGAGAAGGTTTCTGGACCGTCGGAATGGATTGACTTGCTTCCCAAGTCTCAACCCAATAAACCCTCTCTCCTCCTCTGTCTCGCCATCGACGAGGAACAGAGTTGTTGCCTCTCGGTCGGTGTGGGCTACTTTCTCGTCGTAGAGCAGTAAACACCAGCCTTCGGGCAATTAAACTCGTCCTTGTACCCTTCCTTTCCTTCCCTTGAGCTCAATTGGACTCCAGTTGCCTTTGGTCGTCACGAACCTCGATCGGTGACAGAGGTGTCAGTTTGAGCTTCTTCCTTCATGCTTAAAAGTATAGCAGTTTGGTATGCCATGGTGGGTAACTCCACGATCGTACTGCCAAGGTCTTCCCAAAAGTATATGAGCTACGTGCATAGGAGCTACATCACAAAGAATTCGATCCTTGTATTGATCGATTGCAAACTCAACCCATGCCAGTTTCGTCACCTTCAGAACTCCATAATCATTCAGCCAATGCAGGCTGTAGGGCTCGTGATGCTTGATAGTGTTCAAGCCAACTTCCTCACAGTCTCCAAGTTGACGACGTTGGTGCAGCTTCTGCCGTCAATCACCAATGAAGTTGTCTTCCCTTGAATTGTGCAACGCGTGTGGAACAGGTTTTTCCCTCTATTGCATTTCGAATACTGCCTCAACGATGAGGGCTCTTCTATTGATGAGGAGATTCCTTCCTTGAGGTTCCATCTCAATGTTCTCATCTACCTCCTCATCCGTGACCTCTTCTTCATCTCCCTTTTCCTTTTCTTCGTCCTCCAAATAGTACTCACCATCTCGCAGGATTAGTGCTTTCAGATTGGGGCACTGGAAGGATTTTTGCCCTTTTCCATGGCACTTGTAGCATTCCAATCGGCTAATTGAGCCTCCAGTTCGTTCCTGACGGCTTTGCTGTGGAATTGGCTTCAAATTCATAGAATTGTCGGCCAGCTCACCAAAGTCAGGATCCAAGTTACAAGATCTAATCTCGGTGACTGAGTCGCCGTCGGTTGCTTCATTGCCTCATGTAGCTCCTACGAAAACTACATCAACGACATAAAAAACTACTTCCCCAAATACACCCTCACCTATTCCGACCTCAACTCCGACGGGCCATCACCTATAGCGACTACTCTGACGCCATGTTCTGCGACGAGCACTTCATCCTTCGAGTCATACTCTCTTCTATGTTTCAATAGTGAAAGAAAGTGCAAAGGTCTCCAACACCTTCGATTTGAGCTACAATGGGAGATCCTCAGCCCCTCTGTCCATGGCGGTAAACTGACAGTAGCTGTCATCATGATCGTGAGTCTTGGTCAAGACGTACGCTAGAAAAAAGACGAGAGAGAGAGAGCGAACGAAAGGAAATCGCTTTCTTGCAATTGTTTCGGGGGAAGAAGAGAGAATAAGTAGGAAAGGTTTTTGAGTTTTGGGGGAAGATGAGAGAATGAGGTTTTCAGGTTAGTTTCGAAGAAGATAAAGATTAGGAGAAGTGGTCAAAATTTGGTGGGCCCAGATTTTGATGAGGCCCGCACATGACTCAACAAATTTGCTCACATGTACCGCCAACGTGGCATGGCAAATAACCATTTTGATATATGCCGTTATGTCTGAGGACGAAAATGGTAACAGTGCACCTAAACACGACTTACCGACTTTAATTTCAACGAAATTAGGTTAATTGATTATTGTGCAACAATCGCAAGAGTTAAGTGACACCCTGTGCAATTAACCCTTTTAAATCTGAACCCGGAAACTCCGAATCACAATAAAATAAAATGCCCTCAACTCATTTCAGGGCCATATTAAAAAAAAAAACTCATTTCAGTGCCCTTCTTCTTCTTGTCTGCTTTCTCCGTCAATGGCTAGCGGCGGTCAGCAGTCCGCGCCACCGTACAAACCATACCGACTCCTCAAGACCCTGAGAGGTCACTCACGCGCCGTCTCCTGCGTCAAATTCTCCAACGACGGCAACCTCCTGGCCTCCGCTTCCCTCGACAAAACCGTGATCCTCTGGTCCGCTTCCAACTTCACGCTCCACGAGCGCCTCGCCGGCCACTCCGAGGGCATCTCCGACATCGCCTGGTCCTCCGATTCCCACTACATCTGCTCCGCCTCCGACGACCGCACCATCCGCATCTGGGACGCACGCGCCCCCTTTGACTGCCTGAAAATCCTCAGGGGCCACTCCGACTACGTCTTCTGCGTCAATTTCAACCCCCAATCCAATCTCATCGCCTCCGGCTCCTTCGACGAGACCATTCGCATCTGGGAGGTCACTACCGGGAAATGTGCCCAGGTCATCAAAGCTCATACGCAGCCCGTCACCGCTGTGCACTTCAATCGGGATGGCTCTTTGATCGTTTCGGGGAGTCGTGATGGGACTTGCAAGATTTGGGAGGCCGCCACTGGTACTTGCCTGAAGACCCTTATCTCCGATCGGCCCGCCGTGTCTTTTGCCAAGTTCTCTCCCAACGGAAAGTTCATTCTCGCCGCCACTCTCGACAGCACTCTCGTAAGCGTTTCTCCCCTCTACTTGTTTTAGCTGCATTTGGTGTTTCTCTGAGATGATTGTGATATTACAGAATAAGTTAGTTTGCCGGATCATCTGAACTTTTTGGCTTCAATAGCTTTGGAATTCTTGGTGGGTTGTCAAGGATGTGGATTCCGTAACTCTGATTATGTGCTTATGGGTTGGCTAACTAGATGAAAATTAAGAACTTCAATGGTTTCAAGCTTGAAACTTTCTCGTACTATGGTAATGGGATCTTGAAAGGAAAGTTCCCTGGTGAACCAAAGGCAAATGCATACTACTCATCCATGATTTGATCTAGGATCATATGCAGTTCCTGTATACGACTGCAAGCAATTATGTTTGAATCATTTGAAATGAAATCATGTTATGCTTCTTTACTTCTATCTGTTGAATATGGGTTGAAATAGTTTTAGTTCAGTTTTGCGATTAGTGTATGTGTTGTGAAGCTAAACCAAAGGGGATAACTTAACCAGCTAAAGCTTTGCAATTCGGGTGATACGCATAGTTGCAAATATATTTTTATTTCTTCTTCTTAGTAACTGTGTGGTCTGGTTTTCCTTGATGAAACTTGACACCAGTTCTTGAATGCGTCTCTAGTGCTCGTTCTTGACCACTTAAGTGAAGTTCCAGGGGACCTGGAAGCTTTAAGCTGACAATGTTGTTAACTAGAGTGTTGGTGGAAGATAATGATGAGTTTTAGGGTTACTTGATATGCTGAAACCCCCTGTTGTCTATTATTTGTTTTTGGTTCTATGAATACCAACAACCTTACAACTCCACCCTTACTCTTTTCCTATATCTCCACCACTTCTGGTTCTAGCCATCATTACATAAATACCTGCCATCGCTAGCAAAGGACTCAAAACAGTAAAATACTGAATTCAGCAATGGGTGAAAGTTGCAAAATGAGAAACCCATATTTTATGAGAAGACTGCAAGTGAAAATTAACAGCTACTAACCGTGACTTTGCTGATTTTTTCAACTTTCAGTCATTACTTCATATGGATTATTATTGAGTTCATCGTGAGCCACTTGGGTTGTTTGAGTTTGTGTGTGTGACTGATTTTTTCTTTTGCCTCTCACCTTGTGCATGCAGAAGCTATGGAATTATTCAGCGGGGAAGTTCCTGAAGATTTACACAGGTCACACGAACAAGGTCTACTGCATTAGCTCTACATTTTCAGTGACGAATGGGAAGTATATAGTTAGTGGTTCGGAGGATAAGTGTGTATACTTGTGGGATCTCCAGCAGAAGACCTTGATCCAGAAACTGGAAGGCCATTCTGACACGGTCATTTCTGTGAGCTGTCACCCCATTGCCAATGTAATAGCCTCAGCAGCCCTCGATGGAGATAGAAGCATAAAAATTTGGGTCCAGGACCGATAAAGAGCATCAAATTTTGGGTACACAGGATCGCACAAGTATACACACTATCCTCCGAACCATTAACTGTTGTAGGCATCAATGGGAAATGTACCGATAACTCGCAACATGCCATAGGTGGAAGCTGTAAAACGATTACAAGACAGAAACCATTAAATAAGATCTACCCAGCAGCCCAAACTAGTTGAGTATTTCAGAGCTGATTTGTGTCCCACTGTGATCTTAATGTACTATGTTAGAGTGGGGGAACACTTTGACTTCAGTATGGGAAAGGGTGAGATGCATTTGCCTTGTGAATAGGTCATATAATCCTCTCCCCTGTTGTTTTATTTTTGCTCTGTAACTCTTTTATCATCGTAAATTCCTAATATAATAAGTTCACCATTACCAAAAAAAAAAAAAAAAAAATTATTCATTAACCGTTGTACAAGAGAAAAGGTAGCTCTAGTCATTTGTGTTGATCCTTGAGATGAGATGAAGTTAGCTGAAGTACTTGTGTATAGTTAACCTGGTGATTGATGTAGCTAGAAATAATAGGACTCTTGAGATATCAGTGATGTCATGACAAATTACAGTTTGAGATTTGAAGACTGGATGGAGCTGTCAAAGTCTTGACTTAACAAGTGCTTTTTTTTTTTAGTGAACTTAACCAGTGCTTTCTCGAGTGGACAAAAATGGTTGCTAATATGATTAATTCGAAACCTAGTCGACATACGATTCAGTTAGCCTTCAACTCAATTGATTTTTTACACAATCGACTTGTCTAAGTTTAGTGCGTTTTGGAATGTGTTCAAAATGTAACTAGTTATACATCCAATTAGTCCAAATTTTAGAAATGTACGAAACAGAATCCGAAAAATCACACTCGCTTAATGCTTCCAGAATCACAATGCAATGTCCACCTACAGTGATATATTGTTATTACGCTATTATAAGAGCCAAAAATTACATTTAGAGTTTCATGGAAATTAGTAGGTTCCCTAGAGCAGAAGCAATAAGAAATATGAGTAACAAGGGGGAAGTCAGGGAAGGCAAAAAAAAAAAAAAAAAAAAAAGGGACGGAGAGCAATAAAAAATAAAAGGAGGATTGAGAGCCTAGTATATGCGCCATTTTCATCTAATTAGAGATTGCTGTTACGGTGGACAACCGCAACAACGTTGATAACTTCAGCGCCCTCAAATGTCCACCTACAGTGATATATTGTTATTACGCTATTATAAGAGCCAAAAATGACATTTAGAGTTTCATGGAAATTAGTAGGTTATGCGCCATTTTCATCTAATTAGAGATTGCTGTTACGGTGGACAACCGCAACAACGCTGATAACTTCAGCGCCCTCAAATGTCCACCTACAGTGATATATTGTTATTACGTTATAAGAGCCAAAAATGACATTTAGAGTTTCCTGAAAATTAGTAGGTTCCCAAGAGCAGAAGCAATAAAGGGGGGGGGGGGGGGGAAGGAGAGCAATAAGAAATAAAAGGAGGCTTGAGAGCCCAGTATATGCGCCATTTTCATCTAATTAGAGATTGCTGTTACGGTGGACAACCGCAACAACGCTGCTAACTTCAGCGCCCTCAAATGTCCACCTACAGTGATATATTGTTATTACGCTATTATAAGAGCAAAAAATGACATTTAGAGTTTCATGGAAATTAGTAGGTTCCCTAGTATATGCACCATTTTCATCTAATTAGAGATTACTGTTACGGTGGACAACCGCAACAACGCTGATAACTTCACCGCCCTCAAATGTCCACCTACAATGATATATTGTTATTACGCTATTATAAGAGCAAAAAATGACATTTAGAGTTTCATGGAAATTAGTAGGTTCCCTAGTATATGCGCCATTTTCATCTAATTAGAGATTGATGTTACGGTGGACAACCGCAACAACGCTGATACCTTCAGCGCCCTCAAATGCCCACCTACAGTGATATATTGTTATTAAGCTATTATAAGAGCCAAAAATGACATTTAGAGTTTCATGGAACAACCGCAACAACGCTGATTAGAGATTGCTGTTACGGTGGACAACCGCAATAACGCTGATAACTTCAGCGCCCTCAAATGCCCACCTACAGTGATATATTGTTATTACGCTATTATAAGAGCCAAAAATGACATATTAGAGTTTCATGGAAATTAGTAGGTTCCCTAGTATATGTGCCATTATCATCTAATTAGAGATTGCTGTTACGGTGGACAACCGCAACAACGCTGATAACTTCAGCGCCCTCAAATGTCCACCTACAATGATATATTGTTATTACGCTATTATAAGAGCAAAAAATGACATTTAGAGTTTCATGGAAATTAGTAGGTTCCCTAGTATATGCGCCATTTTCATCTAATTAGAGATTGATGTTACGGTGGACAATCGCAACAACGGTGATAACTTTAGCGCCCTCAAATGCCCACCTACAGTGATATATTGTTATTACGCTATTATAAGAGCCAAAAATGACATTTAGAGTTTCATGGAAATTAGTAGGTTCCCTATAGGAGAAGCAATAAGAAATATGAGTAACAAGGGGGAAGTCAGCGAAGGCAAAAAAATAAAAAGAGGATTGAGAGCCCAATATATGTGCCATTTTCATCTCACTAGAGATTGTTGTTACGGTGCACAACCGCAAAAACACTAATAATTTCAATGCCCTCAAATGCACCAGCCGGGAATCGAACCCGGGACTGTACCGTGGCAGGGTACTATTCTACCACTAGACCACTGGTGCTTGCTGCTCAAAATTGAAAGCATGTCATATTTAAATAATCTCTTTGCTCGTAGTAGTTAAAATTTAAAAGGTTGTGTACTATCTCTCAAATAGTATAAAACATAAGGGTATGTTGGGCCTTGTCTCGTCCTAACCCACTAAACCAAGAGGCCCACTGTGCCACAAAAGCCCACTGGAAGTGCAACATCTTCATCCGACCTCGTCAAGATCCCTAAGGAGCGTCTTCGCCTCCATTCACCATCATCAATACCAAACCAATTCGATTGAAGTAGCTCTACTGGGCAATCGCGCTCCAGCACCCTTCTTGAATACAAACGGTAAAAATCATTGAAGAAGAAAGAGACATGGAAATGAAGCAGCCTTGCCTATATATTGACCGCGTCGGCAACTTGAAGAGGCAACAGTTTCCTTGGCTCAGTTAGAACAGGTTGGTTCTTTGGGAGTCTTAGGTTTGGGTTCGAGTGTGTGTCTGGATAGCTTGAGTTGGGGCTTGTAGCCAGGAACTCAAGCTTATCTGGGCATAGCTTCTGCTTTTGCTTCCTTTGCCTGGTTTCAGTCTCTTGTTTTTAGTTTAGATTTGTTCCTTGATCCATGAATTCATTCCTATTGAGATAACGCTTTCAATTCTCTGTTAAGCAATAGAACTGTCATTTGATTCAGTTCAATCGAGTCACAATCAGTAGTTTACAGTGGGTGTGTTTGTGAATTTGGACTCATAGCTTTTCAACAATTGGTATCAGAGCCTCCTTCTCGATAGAACCTTGTGTTGCCGAGAAGGAGATCCTCTGCCTTGCTATGTCGTCCAATTCATTCCCCACTAGCTCTACTCCACCCTGGTTTTCTGGTTCAAATTACTCTGTATGAAAAAAAAAGAATGCGCCTTTTCCTCCGAGGAATCAACTGTGAATTATGGGCAATTGTTCGAAATGGACCAATTGACATGAAAGAAGACGATGAGGAGGATTGGTCAGATGAACAAAATAAAAATTCTCTACTAGACTCTAGGGCTATGCACATATTACTGTCTGCTATCTCTGAAGATGAAGGAGAAAGAGTAAACAAATGTGAAACTGCTAAAGAAATTTGGTCAATACTTGAAACAACTCATGAAGGAACTTCTGAATTTAAGGAAACTAGAATAGACATGTTGTTAAAGGAATATGAAACTTTTGATATGATGCCTGGTGAGTCAATTTCAGAAATGGATAAAAGATTTTCCACTTTAGTTAATCGACTTAAAGGACTAGGTAAAGACTTTACAAGCAAGGAACTTGTTACAAAGGTGCTCAGATCCCTTCCCCTTGAATGGATGGCTAAAAGAACAGCCATAGAGGAAGCTTAGGATCTCAATGTGTTGTCTCTTGAGAACCTTATTGGTTCCCTTCTTAGCCATGAGGAAGTTCTAAAACAAATGAACTCTCTTCGAGACAAGAAGAACAAGTCTATTGCCTTTAAAACTGTTAGCTCAAATGTAGATGAGAGATTAGATGAGGAGTTTGAAAACGAGTTGGCATTAACCAGTAAAAAACTCCAAAGAATGATGAAGTACAAACATGATCAGAACTCCAAAAGGGGAAGCTATAACCTTAACCACTCCCCTAGGTCTTCTGGAAATATGATGAACAACTTCCCTAGATCTTCTGGACACTATTCTGGTGGATCAAATGACAAAACTTCATTTGCTTCCAACAGACAGATGCCAGTCCTAAAGATAACAAGAACAAGAATGATAAATCTGACTCCACTGTTTGTTTTAAATGTGGAAAAACAGGTCACATAAGAGCTAATTGTCCTCTTAATAAAAAGAAAGAAAAAGCAATGACTGCTTCTTGGAGCGACTACAACTCAGAAGAGGAATCAGATGTCGTGGCCTTCATGGGGTTGAACTCAAGCTTAGAAGATGAGCTTCCCGAAGATAAGGTACAGACTGATCTCTCTTCTGATGAGATGTCTGATTCTCATGATAATGACTTCTTTCTTCATGTTTTGTCTAACCTCCATAATGAGTGTAATTTACTCAAAAGCAAATACTTCTTAACTGTAACTCAATTGCATGAAAAAGAAAACAGCTCTCTAAAAGAACTTGTCAAAGTTCAACAGGCTGCCTTAAACACTCAGGACACTCAAGTTAGCAATCTAACTACTGAAACCTAAAATTAAGAAGAGAAATTGACAACTTTCACAAGAGTAGCTACAGGAACGCCAGAATGCCTAATTTTAAATCTAATAGATCTAGTCAGTGCAATGGTAATCTGAATATGAGACATCATACTGATTACTGGAGATACCAGCCTTACTGCACTTTCTGCTGCAAATCTGGTCATATCTATGATAATTGTTATTTCAAGAAAAGCAAACCCAAACTCGTTTGGGTTGTTAAATCTTCTAACTGAGTTGCTTTTTCCTTCAGATTAATAAAGGAGCAAACGTCTGGTACTTAGACTCTGGTTGCTCCCATCACATGACTGGTAATAAAGATTTATTTACTTTTCTTAATCCCAAAAGAGGAGGTAAGGTTTTCTATGGTAATAATGACTGTGCTCCTGTTGTTGGTAAGGGCACTGTTAGTAGTAATTCTTCCTTAATAATTGAAGACGTTCTTTATGTAGAAGGTTTAAAACACAATCTTCTCTCAATTAGTCAGATA